CAACTTGATTCTATACACATGTTACTGCCAATGAATTTGCTGTACAATTTAATGTTTGAATAAAGATTGTTGTCATGCGATGACAGTGCTTTGTCTTCTTGTTGAGATCACAAGACTGTGAGACAGTGTGATCAGTGCATCATGATGATTATTATGAGTGTGTGTCTGTGTGTGAGTGTGTGAGTATGTGTCTGTGTGAGTGTGTGTGAGTGAGTGTGAGTGTGAGTGTGTGTGTGTGTGGCTGCTTGTACTAGTCCAAATTAATGCTGGGTTTATAGTGCTAGCCTACAGCAGTTTAACATGGATACCCCACTCAGACACAGTATATTGTCTCCAAGCTTACCAGTCCTAGTTGTATCTTCTTCGCCAGGTACCATCTTTTAACGTCTTTTTAACGTCTTCTGGCATGATATGATCGGGAATGGAACCCCCAACCTTCCTCTCTCACAGCAGATTGTGTGTGTCCCCATATGAGGCAGAGCAACAAGACAGACAAGCAGACAGGTCCTTCATGGTGATGGAGGACAGCTTTAACCTCTGTATGGGCTTGTCCGCCATCTTGTCCTATAAAGAAGTGTCACTACATTCCTTATGCATCTTGTGGGGTAATATTTGTCATATTATGAGAATAAATGTTGTGTCTGATGGAAAGATAAACATATCGCAATCAACATGAGTAGTATATATCATATGTCTTTCAAAATCCATCTGTGCAAGTTCAGTGAAAGTTTTTAAGGATTTCCAGTTTATGCAAATTCTGACTTTAAACATCTTGTGTCCTTCAAGGAGGGGGTAAGTGCTGTTGAAGGCCCCTGAGTCATCAATATTAAATCCATCTTCCGGAGGCAAGAGAGTTAACTGACTTTAAAAGTCCAGTTTCCACCCTTGCCGAACTAGGCTGGAATTACTGGGCTCAATCTTAGGCCACCAGTGGCTATTACCAGTTATGTCCCTTCTAAGCCTCTCCTATGGACCAATGAGATTCCACCTCTCGTATCACTTGCGTTTGCTTCACACAAAATTGTGGCACCCAGTCAGGACGATCTGATTGATAATCAAGATCTATATTGTGATAAAAGGGGTCTTACATCGCGAAAAGCATCAAATCATATTAGCACCTTGATTAAAAACATGAAAAGATTTGGAAAATATCTGCTGACAACGAGTTGCCGATGCACATGCTTTGCAAATCTTGCGATCAACCGAAATCTGCACAACAGTTCACGAACTGGATTTCGATTTTGGTGCGCGATTTTGATTGGACTATGCATAGACTCGTTAGCCCAGTCAAAATGTAACTCGGCAAGGGTGGAAACTGGACTTTTATAGTCCGTTAACTCTCTTGCCTCGGGAAGATGTATTAAATCTGTATCACAGCAGTTGTCTGCAAACCAATGACTGAAAACATGTGCAACAAGGGTGTGATGTCACACAGTCAGCCAAGTGTGTGTGTGTGTGTGTGTGTGTGTGTGTGAGTGAGTGAGTGAGTGTGTGTGATGTCACACAGTCAGCCACGTCGCCAAGCCTGACCACCAGATCCCTCTGTTGGTCCATCAGTAGGCTCTGGGACCATTTCTGCTCCGTTCAACAAAGCGCTAAGATGATCGTAACTTGTAGACTTACAACAATTGTAGTGTTGACATCACTTTGTAGAGCAAGGCCCAAAACCCTCACTGCATCTTCGTCCTTCAAGTATCCTCGAGCAACTAATGAAGTAGGAGGACAAAATGGTCATCCAGTACACAATAATCAATCACACCCGAACACTTCCAAAACAAACCCGTGAAGATCCGGGGTAGAACAGGTCTTCAGCAACCCATGCTTGCCATAACAGACTAAGCTTGTCGTAAGAGGCGACTAACAGAATCAGGTGGTCAGGCTTGCTGACTTGGTTAATACATGTCATCGTGTCCCAACTGCATGGATCGATGCTCATGATGTCATTCACAGGATTGTCTGGTCCAGACTCGATTATTTACAAAACTTTCAAATCACCTTGAACAAAACACATTTGGGAAGAATATCATCACATTCAAAGTGACCTTGACCTTTTACTGAGGTCATCTACAAACATCAGGTAGAGACACTGCACTGAGAGGTGACAAGTCCAGAGAGTATTTTTACTCACACTTTTCAATCTTTTTGTAAACAAAATATTTATAGGATTTTAAGGGGGCTCAATACTGCACACCTATTCCCCTGCACTAATGTTTCTCTCTCCACTCTGAGGATTTGCCTGAGGAAATGGCAGGCATTGCCTACTTGGGGTACTCTGCCAGTGTCAGTCAACAGATTGGGAGGTACCAAACCCTAAGGCACCCAGAACAATGGGGAGTCAGACAACTTGGTACTTGGGATGCAAGCATGACATTTTGAAAGTGAGGTCTGAATATTTGCCATGTTTTTCCTGAATCTTGTCAATCATGTTTGAGTCAAAAAGGACAGAAAGTCAATAATATAAATGATTTCATTGGAAAAATGACAAGATCAGGATTGTTGGCCTGGGTATGTCTGAGGCTTTACACAGGCCTATTCCAAAGAATTTTGTATTCATAATTTCCAATAATGCCCTCTACATATTCTGGGTCATACCATGGATGGACCTCTGTTTCAAAACCACAATCATGGCAAAGTCGGTAATAATATGGTCGAGCCACACAATTGTGTTGCTTAAGATACTGTGTTTGTGCCACTGACAATGTGTTGGACAGTCTCATTAGATTCACTGCATATTCAACATTTCATATTTATATTTTGATGCAAAATCACACATTGACAGTTTCGAGTGGGAAGTGACTGGTCCTGAGCAGCTTACAGAAAGCCTTCGGTTTCACTTTTCAGGCCAGCCGACTTCATCCAAGCGAAGGACTCTGCAGTGTTGCTGATCTTCACAACACACTGCACATAAACTTGATGCAGTGGTCGTTCTGATAGCCTCTCCATGAAAAACTGAGTCTGGGCCGATTTGATATGGCACTTAGCTTGGTTGACACGCATTTCTGTACCGTCCAGCAATACAGTACCATCAACCAATCTCATTGAAATCAGATCTTAGTTCTCACTGCCGCTAAACAAAGATCTGAGAACATCCCATTACAGGTCACGCCAGACAGACCTTGCGCGAACTTTGACCGACCATTGGAATGACTGAAAAGAAGTCGACATTAGCCAATGAGAAGGCAGCTTTCTCATGCTTTACGGCACTAATTTCAAATTGGTGACTATGCTTCGAAACATATTTTGACAAATTCTCGATTACAAATTTGAAACCTGAACAAAAGAACATTGTGGAATGGCAAATAGATGGTCTTTGATTAAATTGATATAATTAAATAAAGTCTAGTCCCCTTCACAACTGAAATAACTGATCATCATGGATAGATTGCCCGGACAGAAACCACGGAAATATAGTAAAAAGCAAAGGTATAATCACTTACCATTACAGTCTAATCTTTAAAACAAATATCGTACCTTAGAAAATTCATTCACTTGGCTTTCAATTGTGAGGATCAGATGACCACCTGGATCAAGCTGTGAAGGGAGGATAACTCTTCCTGGTGTTTGATTTGTCTTTCAGTCACTTCGTGTCCCACGCCCCCTGTTGACACCACCATTATTTGTGTGGACAAGGGAGGGCCAACTCTTTGAAATGTTGCAGATACCATGCAAACCATTCATAATCACAGATCCAAAATGAAGCCTTGATTATGGAATTTCAATCTGTTGATTATGCGGTTCCAACACTCACTGTATACAAGTTACGTAGTGACAACACCAAACAATACAACCACCGTATATGTATATCTCCATGACAACAGACCTCACTGTACGTCTGGGTTTGTGGGGACTGATACCTGTGTGAGATCAAAATGTCCCATTTTTTTCCTTCATGGTTATATTTGAATATGACCAGAAACCTTCTCAATATAATGAATACAGCAGTACATGGCTGTCCTGTGTCGTGCTATTGCCTAAAACCAAAATGACGTGACAAGTTGACTCTCTATATACAGTAGTGGTAGCAGTAGTTGTAGTTGTAGTTGTCGTAGTTCTGGACATGAACTACCATATTTTCTTGAGTATAGTGCACACTTTTCCCCCCCAAAAAACACACCCGTTCATTTAGCAAATTCGCTGAAGGGGTACGATGTAATTCATTTGTTTTATAAAAAATGCTGAATCCGTTAGAGGGGGGTGCGCATTATACTTGGGTGCGCATTATACTTGGGTGCGCACTATACTCAAGAAAATACGGTACTGTTTGTAGTGGTAGGTGTTGTGGTTGTCATGGTTGTTGATTAGTTTGTCGTGTAGTGTAATTATTGTTGTTGTTGTTGCTGTTGTTGTTTTGTAATAAATGTGTTAGTTATTGTAGTCGTGTAGTTGCAGTAGTTGTAATGGTCCTGCGGATGCGACTTTTGGTCAACATGGTCTGTGACATAAACTGCAAGGCATGTCAATTTAGAAATTATTATCTAACTTTTAACTCGACATGTATCAAAAGTATAAAATATTTCCAAAGATTCCTTTAATCCATTGTCCCCGACATCCCACTGTTTCAAATCAAAAGGCAAGGGCAGAGTCAGACACAGACACAAACAATAAACCATTGATCCAAATGAGAGGTCCGCCATGGCCACAGTGGCTGATCATCACAATAATACCTGACAAAATACAAAAACACAGAGCAACATCATCTGTACATTTATTCAGCAAATGGGTCACTGTACAAGTTCCATGACAATGACTGAGTGAGTTGGGTTTAACGCCGCTTTTAACAGTATTCCAGTTATATTGCGGTGTGTCAGCTTAATGTGGGAGGAAAGCCCGAAGTGATGCAGGTCTCAGACGTTAACCACTTCGGTGAAACCCATGACCACAGGTATGGTGCTGACAAACCTTGAAACATAATCAGGGTGAACCGGGATTCGAACCCACAATCTTAGGGTTCTGGTGACGCAACTCTGCACAGCAAATGGAGGCACCTTAGACGACTGGGCCACCCGTGCCCTCTGATATATTACAACTTAAGTGGTTTGATTACGAATGTGTTGAGTTAAGAAATATTAAATATGAACATCTAAATGCGTTCCGTTTTAGCCCAAATAGAGAAAACTGTCATGTAAAGAAAAAAAGCCCAAAAATATGTTTAAGAATAATTGTCGTCAATGAGGTCACAGCTTCAAGTTCCTCTTCCGGCCGCCCCTCCTGGTGACGGGCTTGGACTCTGTGGGCAGCTTCAGGGGCAGCTTCAGCACCACCAGCGGCTCTCCCTGCTCCTTCTTCTTCTGGGTCGCCACAGCGCAGCCGAGGGCGCGGTAGAACTGAGACACCCTGTAAATATCAACAGTTGAAACTCAATCAGAACTTGTAGATAAACAATAGCCTAAGGCTATACATTTCTTGTTAAGGTTGGTGAAAATGTTGGTACCTGATCAAACTGGGTAGCCATGGTAGGTGTGAAAAAACATTGTTCAGGTTAGTTGGTTACATTTTCGAAAAACTAGAAAGTTGTTTGCAAGAAACAGAAGCAGCCTTGCCTCCATTTCTAGATGTTTCAAAAATCATTTCACACCACCATGCATATCCAGTGTCAATCAATAGCTTTGGTTACACGTCCACTATGACCTCCTACGACATGTCCCTCGCCTCGCCACACATGATGAGGAAGCAAAAGGTATTTCCAGTATTGTGACATGACTTCAAGTCTAATGACAACGTAGTACAACTGGGCTTTATAGAGGTACACATCAAGTTATTATTTAAAACAGCAATGTTAGATCTTTGTAGTCATGTCTGTAAATTTTCTGATCAATCAAAGATACAGCCCTGGAGTACAAATGAATAAACTTATTCTTATTTTACTTCCAATTGTAAAAACATGGCCAGGTACAGTGCAGAGCCTCCTACCTCCTGTCTGCCACTGCCAAGTCCTGCACCAACAGCGACGGGTCAAGTCTGGCGTGTTCTATGATCAGCGACACAGCAAGAATGTACAACAGCAGCTTGTCCTTCAAGCGAGCAGGGAAATATCTGCAGACAAGAACAGGAACTGACAACATGGATCACCTTCCCGAGGCAAGAGTGTCCACTAAGCGATACTGAAGTCTAGTTTACCCTTGCCTTTCTGTGTGAACAGGCTCCCATGAGCCAGGTCTATTACACAATCCGTAGTCCAACCACAAGATTTCACTTCATATTTTCAGGGTCTTTCCAAGTTTTCAGTCAAAGCGTCCTAGTACTTTTATATTTTTAAGTGTAAACTTCATTGAATTTTAACTAGAAATGTGGCTTATTGCAGTGACTGAGATGCTCCTTGTAGGTGACCCCATCTAGATTGTCTGTAGGTGACCCCTGCTGGGTGTATCATGTGCAGTGCAGTGCTACTTGTTGCTGTGTAGTCCGTTTGCCTCTGTTACTGTAAGAGCAAAACGCGTTAGCAAAAAGTATTTTTGTGGTAGCATTCTGTCATCTAGATTGTCTGTCAGGTTTGTTATATTATTGATCAGGTAGTCTGCTGTGGTATTATTCATCTTTGTGAAGCCATTTGTAATGAGAACAGCATCGTGAATGGACAGGTCATAACAAGGGACACAACTTGTGCCCTACATGGGGTGGCGCCACAATCAAACTAAGAAAAATAGGCTTGAAAGGACAAGGGTGAAAACCAGGCCTTGCTATAGGTTAGTGGACGCAGATGCTGACGCTGATGTCCCTGACTCAACCTATTTCCTCCAGGACATCACTTGCCAAGAATATTTCGAACCAAAATAACAGAAAAATATTCCCAAATTTTAAAAAACCCAAATGCTTCTTGAATCTGTAGCCACCTGGTTGCTTTCTGAGCCTTGTTGCCCACGGACATGGTGGTGAACTGGGACAACAGCTGCTTCTTCACGACCTCGGGCCACTCAGCAGGCAGACAGTCTGAAACAGAGAGATGGACACTCGTGACGGTCAGAACCTTACAGCCACTTGTGCTGAGACCTGCCACTCAGCAGGCAGACAGTCTGAAACACAGAGACAGACACTCAGCAGGCAGACAGTCTGAAACACAGAGACGGACACTCGTGACGGTCAGAACCTTACAGCCACGTGTGCTGAGACCTGCCACTCAGCAGGCAGACAGTCTGAAACACAGAGACGGACACTCGTGACAGTCAGAACCTAACAGCCACGTGTGATGAGACCTGACACTCAGCAGGCAGAAACACAGAGACGGACACTTGTGACTTGTGACAGCCATGTGTGCTGAGACCTGACACCAGATGGAGGGAGGTTAATAACGAGATGAAGCCTGATATATACATTACATATGGAGGATGTCTGACAGCCAGTGACAAATACACTGCATGTCTTATCGATGGATATAGATATTATTACTATTTTCAAGAGTGGCTAACTTGCCCATGTTGACAGAGACATCAACAGTAAGATAAAGCTAGCTTGAACTCACTGTGTTTCTTGAAGTTGGCTGGCTTGTACTTGTAGAGCGTCAACAAGTACTGCAGATACACCAGGCACTTCGCCTTCTGCCAGCGCCGGCCATCGTCAGACGGCATCACCTTCAACTGTTCCAGGATGTACCACGGGTACCTACAGAGAGAATTGTGGGTAATACCCAGGGTACCTACAGAGAGAATTGTGGGTAATACCCAGGGTTCCTACACAGAGAATTGTGGGTGTTGCACAACACCAAAACAGCTGCCTGCACACTACCCCGTGGCCAGGTAGTTATCTAGGGAGGCCAGTAATCTTTCAATCCCTCTATTCTGCCTGTCTTGTAACTTCTTCTTTTTAACCTTAAAGTCTGAACATGCAATTCAATATGAACAATGTGCTAAACGAATCTCTCTCATTGCTATTTTTTCCGTATTGGCTAAATAATTATTGTACCTGGGTTTTGTATAACTCCTATTGCACTTATAAATGTTAGTTCAGTTTTCAGTTCGTACTCTTGAAATGAGAACCGCTAATCTCTGCTGTGGTATAGTGTTAGTGGAAGGTTTTGTTTGATGTTTAACACTCCACTCAGCAATATTTCAGCTATATGACGGTGGTCTGTAAATAAACGAGACTGGACCAGACAATCCAGTGATTGATATCATGAGCATCGATCTACATAATTGGGATATGATAACATGCACCAACCAAATCAGCGAGCCTCACCATCCGATCATGTCAGTCGCCTTTTACGGCAAGCATGGATTGCTGAAGACCTATCCTAACCCGGATCTTCACGGGTCTGTTAGTGAAAGGTAACTAGCTCCTCGGCCAGTTTGATTTTGACTTGTGTCATTCACTGGTGTTGCACCATAGGCATATAAACAGAGCATTGTGGGTACTGCACGCCAGGTATCTCAGCACACCAGGACTCACTCTTTCGTGTCCGTCCATTCAGCTAGCTGGGCCTGGGTACGTGTGAAGAACTTCTCAGCTGGAGATTTCAGAGCCGTCAACAGCTGAGGGGTTATCACTGAAAGTACAACCAAGCTCCATTTCACTACTAAAATATGTCAAGGGGAGGTAACTCCTGTATGACTCGCTGAGCCTGTAATTATTCCCTGGTGAGGCAGATGGAATTTTTCATTCCAAAATTTGGTTCTTGCAATATTTCTAAAATCTTGAATAAACTGAATAATTAAAGATATAAATAAATTACCGATTTATCTGACTGATATATCTTTCTGATGTATTTTACTCAGATATCTTACTGATATTTAGTACACGGGGGACAAGCATGGGTTGCTGAAGACCTATTCTACCTTGGATCTTTACGGGGGACAAGCATGGGTTGCTGGAGACCTATTTTGACAGGAGACCTGATCGTAACTCACATACCTTAACATAGCCTGACGACAGTAGTAACACTTAATGCCAAGAGGATCGTAACTCCCATGCCTTAACATAGCCTCACAACAGAAGTAACACTAAGATGTAAGATGATCGTAGCCCCATACTTTAACATAGCCTAACGACAGTGGCACACTTAATGCTAAGATGATCGTAACTCACATACCTTAACATAGCCTCACGACAGAAGTAACACTTAGTGGTAAGATGATCGTAGCCCCATACTTTAACATAGCCTAACGACAGTGGCACACTTAATGCTAAGATGATCGTAACTCACATACCTTAACATAGCCTCACGACAGAAGTAACACTTAGTGGTAAGATGATCGTAGCCCCATACTTCAACATAGCCTAACGACAGTAGTAACACTTAGTGGTAAGATGATCGTAGCCCCATACTTCAACATAGCCTCACGACAGTAGTAACACTTAGTGGTAAGATGATCGTAACTCACATACCTTAACATAGCCTCACGACAGTAGTAACACTAAGTGGTAAGATGATCATAACTCCCATGCCTTAACATAGCCTCACGACAGAAGTAACACTTAGTGGTAAGATGATCGTAGCCCCATACTTTAACATAGCCTAACGACAGTGGCACACTTAATGCTAAGATGATCGTAACTCACATACCTTAACATAGCCTCACGACAGAAGTAACACTTAGTGGTAAGATGATCGTAGCCCCATACTTTAACATAGCCTAACGACAGTGGCACACTTAATGCTAAGATGATTGTAACTCACATGCCTTAACATAGCCTCACGACAGAAGTAACACTTAGTGGTAAGATGATCGTAGCCCCATACTTTAACATAGCCTAACGGCAGTGGCACACTTAATGCTAAGATGATCGTAACTCACATACCTTAACATAGCCTCACGACAGAAGTAACACTTAGTGGTAAGATGATCGTAGCCCCATACTTCAACATAGCCTAACGACAGTAGTAACACTTAGTGGTAAGATGATCGTAGCCCCATACTTCAACATAGCCTCACGACAGTAGTAACACTTAGTGGTAAGATGATCGTAGCCCCATACTTTAACATAGCCTCACGACAGAAGTAACACTAAGTGGTAAGATGATCATAACTCTCATACATAACCTCAGGACAGTTGGACAGTCGCAGCCATGGGCGCATCACTCACCTGCATCAGCTGTGTAAACATTTTCTGGACAATCAGCGTTGCGGTCATACGGTGGAAGGATGGTTTCAGATGAAGAAGGAATGGCAACTAAAAGATGTGAGTTCGTGTGAAAACATTGGGAGCGGAAAAATGTATTTATTTAGAGTTAACAAATCATTTACTTATCCTAACTCAAACTAATTGCCTATCTCTCTCTATTTCCTGAAGGTAGTGTTGTTTCCAGTGCATATGCATTGGCCAGGGGTGCATTTGGGTGAGCTGTTTTTCTGGAACACAGTTCAGGAAGTTTCCACTACCTTTTAGAACTTAGAGAGAAAAAAGCAATTAGTATGAGGCAGGATAAGGTAAAATAACACCCTTACAATACACACAAGTCACTAATTTCCTATGGTTTTTTTTGTTCACTACAAATCTTCCCGTGGCTAGGGTGTTAACTGACTGTAAGAGTCAAGTTTCCACCCTTGCTGAACTAGGCTTGAATTATGGAGTTATATTTTGGCTGCACTAACAAATCTATGCATAGTTCAATCAAACATCCACATCTGGTTTGTAAAACTGCCACGCAGATTCCGGGCGATGGAAGGATTTGAAAAGCATGAGTACTGTCAACAGATATTTTCCAGATCTTTTCATGTTATATTACAATGTAGAATTTGATTATCTATCAGATTGTCTTGTCTGAGCAGCACCATTTTGTTTCAAGCAGATGCAAGTGAAATGAATGGTGGAATCTGATTGGTCAATAGGAGGGACATAGAAGGGGCATAACTTGTAATAGCCACTGATGGTGCTAAGATCGAGCCCAGAATTCCAGCCTAGTTCCACAAGGGTGGAAACTGGACTTTTATAGTCAGTTAACTCCCTTGCCTCAGAGAGATGTTCATCACATGACATGACACACCCACCTGGGGAGTCCAGTACGTCCGACTGAGTGACCGCATGTCCGATGGCATTGTCCATCGAGGTGTTGAAGGCTTCACCGGTCAATTCGTTAAACTTCTGTTTGGCTTTCACAGCTCGTTTCTTTTTTGTTGACCCGAAGGCTGCATTCAGTCGGTCATTCTGCACACGCACATTTGACGATAATGGCAAGTCATTAGCAGTGTCCACCCATTCCAGCATTAATTACATTAACTGGGAGTCTAACAGTGTTATAGAGCGACAACTGAGCTATATATGCTGTTGCCATGCTTGGATTGACGCATCTTGACCACAACTTATATGATTTGTCATAACTGAAGCTTAATTCTGTACTGCATAACCCTGATATGGTACAACCTTACAACATGTACAATGTAACATGTACAATGGATGGAGTTTGTAAATCTCATGAGCGTCTTATTGACATATACAACTCTAAAGAAGTTAAAGAACACTTCAAGCTTTTGACGAAAGTTAATCTGTGATGATGAAAAACTTGGATGTTCCGTAACCTCTTTTGAGTAGTATATGTCAACATGCCCCCTTGTTAAGTGCACTAGAACTAACTTCTCTGCCAAGATGTGAGGTTGATACATAGTGTGACTAACTTCTCTGCCAAGATGGGAGGTTGATACATGGTGTGACTAACTTCTCTGCCAAGATGTGAGGTTGATACATAGTGTGACTAACTTCTCTGCCAAGATGTGAGGTTGATACATAGTGTGACTAACTTCTCTGCCAAGATGGGAGGTTGATACATAGTGTGACTAACTTCTCTGCCAAGATGGGAGGTTGATACATAGTGTGACTAACTTCTCTGCCAAGATGTGAGGTTGATACATAGTGTGACTAACCTCTCTGCCAAGATGGGAGGTTGATACATAGTGTGACTAACTTCTCTGCCAAGATGTGAGGTTGATACATAGTGTGACTAACTTCTCTGCCAAGATGGGAGGTTGATACATAGTGTGACTAACTTCTCTGCCAAGATGTGAGGTTGATACATAGTGTGACTAACTTCTCTGCCAAGATGGGAGGTTGATACATAGTGTGACTAACTTCTCTGCCAAGATGTGAGGTTGATACATAGTGTGACTAACTTCTCTGCCAAGATGGGAGGTTGATACATAGTGTGACTAACTTCTCTGCCAAGATGGGAGGTTGATACATAGTGTGACTAACTTCTCTGCCAAGATGGGAGGTTGATACATAGTGTGACTAACTTCTCTGCCAAGATGGGAGGTTGATACATAGTGTGACTAACTTCTCTGCCAAGATGGGAGGTTGATACATAGTGTGACTAACTTCTCTGCCAAGATGGGAGGTTGATACATAGTGTGACTAACTTCTCTGCCAAGATGTGAGGTTGATACATAGTGTGACTAACTTCTCTGCCAAGATGTGAGGTTGATACATAGTGTGACTAACTTCTCTGCCAAGATGGGAGGTTGATACATAGTGTGACTAACTTCTCTGCCAAGATGTGAGGTTGATACATAGTGTGACTAACTTCTCTGCCAAGATGGGAGGTTGATACATAGTGTGACTAACTTCTCTGCCAAGATGTGAGGTTGATACATAGTGTGACTAACCTCTCTGCCAAGATGGGAGGTTGATACATAGTGTGACTAACTTCTCTGCCAAGATGTGAGGTTGATACATAGTGTGACTAACTTCTCTGCCAAGATGGGAGGTTGATACATAGTGTGACTAACTTCTCTGCCAAGATGGGAGGTTGATACATAGTGTGGAATGAGCACCTGCCACAAACATGAATATAATATTCTCACCTGCTGGACAAATGAGAGAGGGGTGTCAAATACAAGCTCTTCTTTCTTGCTATCTGTGGGTAGCAAAAAAGCTTAACTTAAGGTTGGGAAAGACAAAACATAAATAAATCATTATATATGATGACCTTCCACCTATATATTTATTATAAATCATCTTCAGAAGGTGCTCTGAACTCATGAGAATTTTTTTAAAAATCAAATTGATTTTTTCCCCCCAGCAAGGCACACTCAAATGAACATGAAGATGCAGTCCTTTATCATAAGAAACCATCTGTGATATTTCAATACTGCAAGCATACACAAGAACTGTGACGCCTTAATGCACATCACTGACAAACGACCAGGTCAACCTCAGTTTAACAGGTCAGATTGACCCGGCTTGATAACTAACAGGAAGTCAGAAAACACCTTCTGAACTAATAGGATTATGTCCTAAAAATAATATAATGCTGGGGTTCATATACAATATCTTTGGGCAATAGCTGTCTGATACCACAATGCAATGACTCCATGCCTTACTTACCTTCAAATGTCGGCTTCATGTGAAACATTTCGGCATCATGGATCGTCAGTTTCCCTGTTCTTGTGTCCAGACATCCCAAGTAGTACCTAGCATACACACGACACTCTGTCAGACATGCAACACGGTGTTAGAATAATCTGTTAAAAACAGCAAAAACCACCCACAGTGACATCTGTTAAAATCCTACAAGAAACCACAATTAGCATCTGCTACGTCAGCACTCTCAGTTATCATGACGATGCCAGAGGTAAGATATTTGCTATGTGAAACCATGATGTTGATTTTCCAGCTTTCAGATATACACATCTCAATGCTAAATCCCATACTCAATTTGTCATATTATTACAAAAAGTCCATGATAATAATAATTGAAAAACTGATACAATGGCCTCAAAACCTGTTTAACATTGATATGACTCCAAGATCAATTGTGTTATGAATTATCTCCCTTTCAGCGTTTCAGATGGCTGTTGGTAACCGGTCATAGACCAATAAAATTTCAATTCAACAGATGGTTTGCTTAAGTAGTCAGTCTTTTGACCGATAGAAATGCTAAGCAAGGCGCCACATGTTTCACAATTTCATAATTGAAAAGTAAATAGTAAGAATTAGTCCTACTTGCAGTATCGATTTAATAAAACAATGCACGGCCATCAAAAAGAGTAATTGAAATTCTGAGCAGCGTATGTCTTTGCATCATACTTTCTATATCATAGGGAAACCGTCAGGAGCTATAGTGACTTGGTCAAGCACTTTTCTTATCACGACGTTCATTGGCCAGATTGTATATATATTCATCCAATCATGAATGGTATTGCATTGATTTGTTGTCATGCTCTTCACCAGTTTTGTTTATTTGTGAGCACGTGGCATAAGAAAGTTTGTGTTTTGCTTACTTGACGTTTTTACTTTTGCCATTGACTTGGGTCCAGGTCATTTACCTTTATCCTTTATTACCTCTACCACGACATCATGTGCCTTGATCCACCCACTAGCACGAAATCATGTGCCTTAAACCACCCACTACCACGAAATCATGTGCCTTGATCCATCCACTACCACGAAATCATGTGCCTTGATCCACCCTCTACCACGACATCATATGCCTTGATCCACCCTCTACCACGACATCATGTGCCTTGATCCACCCTCTACCATGACATCATATGCCTTGATCCACCCCCTAACACGTCATCGTGTGCCTTGATCCACCCTTTACCAGGACATCATGTGCCTTGATCCATCCTCTACCACGTCATGTGCCTTGATCCATCCTCTACCACGTCATGTGCCTTGATCCACCCTCTACCACATCATGTGCCTTGATCCACCCTCTACCACGACATCATGTGCCTTGATCCACCCTCTGCCACCACATCATGTGCCTTGATCCACCCTCTACCACGACACCATGTGCCTTGATCCACCCTCTACCACATCATGTGCCTTGATCCACCCTCTACCACATCATGTGCCTTGATCCACCCTCTACCACGACATCATGTGCCTTGATCCACCCTCTACCACGACATCATGTGCCTTGATCCACCCTCTACCACGACATCATGTGCCTTGATCCACCCTCTACCACATCATGTGCCTTGATCCACCCTCTACCAAGACATCATGTGCCTTGATCCACCCTCTACCAAGACACCATGTGCCTTGATCCACCCTCTACCACATCATGTGCATTGATCCACCCTCTACCACGACATCATGTGCCTTGATCCACCCTCTACCACGACACCATGTGCCTTGATCCACCCTCTACAACATCATGTGCCTTGATCCACCCTCTGCCACCACATCATGTGCCTTGATCCACCCTCTACCACGACATCATGTGCCTTGATCCACCCTCTACCACCACATCATGTGCCTTGATCCACCCCCTAACACGACATCGTGTGCCTTGATCCACCCTTTACCAGGACATCATGTGCCTTGATCCACCCTCTACCAGGACATCATGTGCTTTGATCCACCCTCTACCACGACATCGTGTGCCTTGATCCATCCTCTACCAGGACATCATGTGCCTTGATCCACTCTCTACCAGGAAATCATGTGCCTTGATCCACCCTCTACCACTACATCATGTGCCTTGATCCATCCTCTACCATGACATCATATGCCTTGATCCACCCCCTAACACGTCATCGTGTGCCTTGATCCACCCTTTACCAGGACATCATGTGCCTTGATCCATCCTCTACCACGTCATGTGCCTTGATCCATCCTCTACCACGTCATGTGCCTTGATCCACCCTCTACCACATCATGTGCCTTGATCCACCCTCTACCACATCATGTGCCTTGATCCACCCTCTACCACACCATGTGCCTTGATCCACCCTCTACCACACCATGTGCCTTGATCCACCCTCTACCACGACACCATGTGCCTTGATCCACCCTCTACCACGTCATGTGCCTTGATCCACCCTCTACCACGTCATGTGCCTTGATCCACCCTCTACCACCACACCATGTGCCTTGATCCACCCTCTACCACGACACCATGTGCCTTGATCCACCCTCTTCCATGACACCATATGCCTTGATCCACCCTCTACCACGACACCATGTACCTTGATCCACCCTCTACCACGACACCATGTGCCTTGATCCACCCTCTACCACATCATGTGCCTTGATCCACCCTCTACCACACCATGTGCCTTGATCCACCCTCTACCACACCATGTGCCTTGATCCACCCTCTACCACACCATGTGCCTTGATCCACCCTCTACCACGACACCATGTGCCTTGATCCACCCTCTACCACGTCATGTGCCTTGATCCACCCTCTACCACGTCATGTGCCTTGATCCACCCTCTACCACCACACCATGTGCCTTGATCCACCCTCTACCACGACACCATGTGCCTTGATCCACCCTCTTCCATGACACCATATGCCTTGATCCACCCTCTACCACGACACCATGTACCTTGATCCACCCTCTACCACGACACCATGTGCCTTGATCCACCCTCTACCACGTCATGTGCCTTGATCCACCCTCTACCACGTCATGTGCCTTGATCCACCCTCTACCACCACACCATGTGCCTTGATCCACCCTCTACCACGACACCATGTGCCTTGATCCACCCTCTTCCATGACACCATATGCCTTGATCCACCCTCTACCACGACACCATGTACCTTGATCCACCCTCTACCACGACACCATGTGCCTTGATCCACCCTCTACCACGACACCATGTGCCTTGATCCACCCTCTTCCATGACACCATGTGCCTTGATCCACCCTCTACCATGACACCATGTGCCTTGATCCACCCTCTACCACGACACCATGTGCCTTGATCCACCCTCTACCACGACACCATGTGCCTTGATCCACCCTCTACCACGACACCATGTGCCTTGATCCACCCTCTTCCACGACATCATGTGCCTTGATCCACCCTCTACCACCACATCATGTGCCTTGATCCACCCTCTACCACCACATCATGTGCCTTGATCCACCCTCTACCACACCATGTGCCTTGATCCACCCTCTACCATGACATCATGTGCCTTGATCCACCCTCTACCACATCATGTGCCTTGATCCACCCTCTACCACACCATGTGCCTTGATCCACCCTCTACCATGACATCATGTGCCTTGATCCACCCTCTACCACATCATGTGCCTTGATCCACCCTCTACCACACCGTGTGCCTTGATCCACCCTCTACCACATCATGTGCCTTGATCCACCCTCTACCACATCATGTGCCTTGATCCACCCTCTACCACACCATGTGCCTTGATCCACCCTCTACCACACCATGTGCCTTGATCCACCCTCTACCACATCATGTTGTTACTCACTTGGATGCTGAGTCTTCAGTCTTGCTGTTGCTATGGCCGACATAGGACAGCTTCTCCTTGGCTGGTATTGTCTGACAAACAACAACAACAACCAAACATAAACAAGGGATAATACAAAAACTGATCAGGATTCTGTGTCATTGGATTGGAAAACTAATTTCTTCTGCCCACCTACAACAACAATGGGCGGGGCTCGCTGAATACAATGGTCATTCCTAATACAGGATATTTACCATCCCCAAACACACTCGCGTGATAACCTCTATATACGAATGTGTAATGTGTGAATGTATAATGTAGGAATGAATCAGGGTTTTACTATTACATTTTAGAAATGTTTTAAGTTACTCTGCAATAACTCAATGTATCTGTTGGTAGTAATATTGCTGCTATTAGATTGTTCTGCACAGTGTGTACATATATTCATTTATTTGTTGTGCAGATGTAGCTGTGTTACCTGTGCAGTACCATGTGTCTGGACTGATGAACTAGGTTTTATATATATTGTACATTGAATGAATACATGACAGTAAATGTATCATGTCACGCTTATGATACTCTATTTATATGATATCCATATATAAGTATATATGCAGGTTAAATATGTTTATAATACAGGATTATTTAAGTGTTAATGTAATGTAAGTTTATCTATTAGCAGTTATAACATGATGTATAATATTTGATGTCAGCATATATTTATATTTTGTCTAATGAATGTTTTACGATTGTTTCAGGGTTTAATTTATCGGTAACAAACTTTGCTGTAACTGCCATCAACACCTGTCTGTCCTCCATGTCATGGAGCAGTCTCAGTTTCATACACAATGGAAGGACATCCAACTACCCTGGTCTGGTGACAAGTAGCCGTCGTGAACACAGATACAAGTCCTTAATAATATGACTAGAATTGAAATATCGGTACATCGGTACTAATGCTATTAGGTATATCTAATCACAAAAAATATTTCAGTATACAAAATGTATCAAAACCCATTGTCATGATTTGTGAGTGGTTGCGTGCACCAGTTAAGACTATATATACATGTTCCTATTCCTACTCGACTCCTGATATACATGTATATATTTATCATATAATAGGTAGGTTTCTCGGCAGGATAAAGCCAACGGATAAAAACGATATTCGTTGGGGTCATATGCGGATAGAGATGCAAATATCAAAGGTCAAGTAGGGACTACTTTCACTGTTTATAAACAAACATGGCGTCGCCCTCGTCATTCGGCGATCGGGTCAGAATTAACCATCAGGAATCTGGATAAACTACAGGGATAATTGCTATCATTATCAAAAGAACAGTTTAACATACTGAAAATCAGTGTCTAACTGTGATGTAGCTAAGGCATTTTATAAGTTTTGGCAACTTTGGAGATATAAATTTCGAAACAATTTTGCTAGGGCACGAGGCCTAGCCAAGCGGAATCAGTAGCCATATCTGTGCTTGTAGACCTCTGCGGCTTGAAACCTTCTCCACAAATTGAAATAGTTGGATTTGGCCGAAATATGTTTGAATTGTTACCTTGTTTCGTTTTGTCGCTGTGTGTACATCTGACTACACTTCTAAACGTTATGACAGGCGGACTGTCAAAAACGTTGTAGATATCGCTGCAATGAAATTACATCACAATGCTTTGCAGACCATTGTGATGTCATTGGTTATCATGACGTCACAGTCAAATGACATCACTAATAGCTCTGTTACTGAAGCTGTCAGCAGTACCTTTTACACTAACACACTGGTTATTACTGTCTACAAACTGAAAAAGTTGGAAGAATGATTTTGGATGATAAATAAAATCTCACCCTTGTGTCTTTTGATATCAAATATATCAACACTCAGAGTTTTTTCCACTTTTATCAACTCGTGTTTATATATTTGATATCAAAAGAAAGGTGAGATTCTCTATCTGTTCCCAGCAATGTGATCCAGTGACAGGGTGTTGGCAGGTTGCCTTAAACCAAGACTGTCCTGTTCAGATGGCTGACAAATAGGGATATCAACATGGCAAGTCTCACCAAGATCTTCTGCGTTGCCTCCCTTGACTGGGAGTCTCTGTCTGCCATCTCTCTGTAGCTGTAGTGAAGCTTCTTAAACATCCCCTTCTTTAGGTGGCCATGTTCAAACTTGGCTGTAAAAAAAAATTAATATGACTGCTGACCCCTAGCCTAAAATGTGACTCAAAATCAATGCGACTCCCCCCACCCCATCCCCAGTGGAATAATGCATATCCTTACCTTTATCCAAACAACAAATAGCACCCTAAAACAACAAACAGTTTATATGTTTACTCTGTTGATCTAACCCCTTCAGCCACCGAGGCTTCCATAAAAACGAACGTCCGACAGCTGGTAGTCAGCCATGGGAGCCATGCCAATTTACACTTGTCAGAGGGGTACACAAAGTACGTCATCTAGACTACCAGTTGTCAGACTTTCATTTTTGTGGAGTAATAAGTGGCTAAAGGGGTTAGATTGCCGATTTTGTGTGCAGTGTGGGTTCGAATCCCAGACGGGACTCAACCAAAAAAAGTACAAGAATCTGTACTTTACAAAAAAAGAGTTATCCCAAATATAACATTTGTTATATTTTAGTCGCATTGCTTGGCAATATTCCAGTCATATCAAATTGAGAGACTCCAAAAATGGACTTCAAACAATGTACTATGCACATTGTTCAAAGTCGTTTACAGAATACACAGCCATAATCATGATAATTATTAAAAAATCTAATAACATGGTAAACAGTAAATATTTCATCTGGTGTCATTGGTAATAGGGCTGGGCTGGGCTCCAAATTTACTTCCCTGGTACCCAACCCCCTATTACCCGACCCTACCCGGGTACCCGCTGTAGGTTTCAAGAGAGAGGTACAAAATGTCTGATTGGGAAACATTTGACCGTACTCCTGTCAAAATAAATTTAGATATATACATGTATAATCCAATTTGGTCATGCATACACTGAAGTTGACTGAAGTTATATCAATATGCAAACATATAAAGTCAGAAGGAATGTGTATAATCAGAATTTTTTTTGTCACTTATAGTGTAACCATAGAGTTCTAAATAATTTTTGCCATTAAACAATATTATCACATGACTAACCACGGCACCCTAGTCACCCATCCCTGCCCTAATTGGTAAACATAATTTATCTGGGTTGTACTAATTTCTGTCAGGGTTTGAATTGAAAATGCCCTGGAATATCCAGGTGTACATTACAACCATGCAGTATGCATTTTACCACCTTTTTTATGTATCATTATCCACTGTGACATTGATTAAAACGTTTTTAAAGGCTTAAAAATATTCTTGAGTGTACACGTGTGTGTGTCTGTGCTAAAGTGTTTGATTGTCACACTGAAGACATGGGTTTAATTCACCACATGGCTACAATAAGTGATGCCCATTTATGGTGTGATATTCCTGGAATATTGGTAAAACTACTGAAAGCGACGTAAAACCCAACTCACTCATTCAATAACATTGCAAGATGATCACAGAACGGCGCCAATAATTGGAGACAAAATGGTAAATGTTTCACAGCTGATATATCGTAAATAAGTGTTTGTTTTACCGAATGCGGTACGAGACATACTCCGATTGACGTATATAACTTCGAGTGACATTGTTTCCAAGATCCGCGGACCTGTTGACTGTGATCACAGACTGACATGCAACTTTGAGAGCTGCTATGACCATTTCAAAACTCGCTCACCAGCTATGATTTTCGTCGAAGGTTTTCCAGCTTGTGGCCGTACCAGTCTCGCCTCCATAGTGTGCCTCTTCTAATAAATGTAGCCGGTAAAAAAAAATAACAACATTTAACTCGTCAGCAATTGCACATGCTGATACCGACTCGACTGCACGTGGAGCAAAATCAAAACATTCAGCGCGATGTTCTCTATATGTAATTTCTTGGGACTTTATAAAATATGTTATAACTTTGCTTATATAAACTATTCATGTTTGAATTATGTTAATGTAGACTAGATGCTTTAGTGGACAAAAATCTCAGAAATATATGCATTCAATGTGAAAAAAAATATTTTCTTTATTTTAGGACATCATGCTTTAAAAACGGAACTACTCTTCTGCCCCCTGTCGTAAATAACGGAGAGGTAACTCTCAATGACTAACGTTTGACAGGTGCGCGATAGATCGATACAGGCGGTGTGAGAGGCATATTGACTTTTACCAGGTGCTGGAAACCATCAACAGCTGTTGTCGTCAGGTAAGTTTAGCTATCAGAAATGACACATTGCCTTTTGCGAGATATTTGACAGGAATGTATGTTGTAGACATAACTATACATACCCATATGGATTGCTGAAGCGGCGCACAGAGCGTTGCCGTTGGCGTAACCGCTGTTACTGGTGTGCACATTAACTTCATCTAGAATCTACTTGCTGTGAAAAGTGTACTCGTTTTGAAGTTCAAGGTAAATGGGAAAAGAGTGGAGGGTGGTTACACAAGCAAGGACGTTATGTTTAATTGTAGACTTCAAATGAATTATAGTATTTGCCTTTCGTTACTGGCATTGTCGCAGCGACCACGTCAGTCGATCTATAGTCATAAATAATTCATCATATTTCTGTTTACATGTATTGCTCACGTTGATAAGATAGTTGTCTGATGTTGATGCATTAAAAATAAGGAGTATCCATATAAAAAATATGTCATGAACGATGTCCACCATGGCTAATGCAACATGACAATGGACATTTTAACACTGGTCAGTAAATGTGCTACAACATGTATAGTTGTACATGGCAGTGGATTATTCATCTCAGTAACTATACTCTGAAATGCAGTTTGTATAGATTCAGCAGTAAAAGTATAGAACCTAAACTTACTAACATGGTCCAGATGAACATATATAGTCAAAATATTTGTGAATGAAATTCAATTACCCTGTTTCTTTTTGCTGAAACTAAAGTCTCTCTGGACTATATTTTGAATGCATGTCAATATGTTTAACATGTCAGTAATTTAGAGATTGGGTTCTTCCTCAATTGCTGAGAAACCAAAGTAGTTAACTAATTAAGTAAAATTACAAATCATATGTGGTTGTGTATGTTGTGTTGTGTTGTGTATCATATGTATGCTTGTAATGTGGTGTCTGTAGAATTTACCCACCAGTATATGCATGGGTCTGTCATTGATGTATCTCACAATGTACAGTGGAAAGTGGGACTCCTGACAGTGATACTGTCTAGATATTTATAGTTGTAATATTGATAAAAAATAATTGTTTCCCTTGGAGTAGTGGTCCTTTTGAATGTGTGATTCAGAGGGACTAAGTGGGAGTGAGGTTTGTGTGGCCAGATTAGTGGGGTGTGAGTCTTGTTGTCAGAAGTCAGGGTCTGGTTGGCTAGATTAGAGGGGTGTGAGTCTTGTTGTCAGAAATCAGGGTCTGTGTAGCTAGATTAGAGGAGTGCGAGTCTTGTTGTCAGAAGCCAGGATCTGTGTAGCTAGATTAGAGGGGTGTGAGTCTAGTTGTCAGAAGTCAGGGTCTGTGTAGCTAGATTAGAGGGGTGTGAGTCTTGTTGTCAGAAGTCAGGGTCTGTGTTGCTAGATTAGAGGGGTGTGAGTCTTGTTGTCAGAAGTCAGGGTCTGTGTGGCCAGATTAGAGGGGTGTGAATCTAGTTGTCAGAAGTCAGGGTCTGTATAGCTAGATTAGAGGGGTGTGAGTCTTCTTGTCAGAAGTCAGGGTCTGTGTTGCTAGATTAGAGGGGTGTGAGTCTTGTTGTCAGAAGTCAGGGTCTGTGTAGCTAGATTAGAGGGGTGTGAGTTTTGTTGTCAGAAGTCAGGGTCTGTGTAGCTAGATTAGAGGGGTGTGAGTCTTGTTGTCAGAAGTCAGGGTCTGTGTAGCTAGATTAGAGGGGTGTGAGTCTTGTTGTCAGAAGTCAGGGTCTGTGTAGCCAGATTAGAGGGGTGTGAGTCTTGTTGTCAGAAGTCATGGTCTGTGTAGCTAGATTAGAGGGGTGTGAGTCTTGTTGTCAGAAGTCAGGGTCTGTGTAGCTAGATTAGAGGGGTGTGAGTCTTGTTGTCAGAAGTCAGGGTCTGTGTAGCTAGATTAGAGGGGTGTGAGTCTTGTCAGAAGTCAGGGTCTGTGTAGCCAGATTAGAGGGGTGTGAGTCTTGTTGTCAGAAGTCAGGGTCTGTGTAGCTAGATTAGAGGGGTGTGAGTCTTGTTGTCAGAAGTCAGGGTCTGTGTAGCTAGATTAGAGGGGTGTGAGTCTTGTTGTCAGAAGTCAGGGTCTGTGTAGCTAGATTAGAGGGGTGTGAGTTTTGTTGTCAGAAGTCAGGGTCTGTGTAGCTAGATTAGAGGGGTGTGAGTCTTGTTGTCAGAAGTCAGGGTCTGTGTAGCTAGATTAGAGGGGTGTGAGTCTTGTTGTCAGAAGTCAGGGTCTGTGTAGCCAGATTAGAGGGGTGTGAGTCTTGTTGTCAGAAGTCAGGGTCTGTGTAGCTAGATTAGAGGGGTGTGAGTCTTGTTGTCAGAAGTCAGGGTCTGTGTAGCTAGATTAGAGGGGTGTGAGTCTTGTTGTCAGAAGTCAGGGTCTGTGTAGCTAGATTAGAGGGGTGTGAGTCTTGTCAGAAGTCAGGGTCTGTGTAGCCAGATTAGAGGGGTGTGAGTCTTGTTGTCAGAAGTCAGGGTCTGTGTAGCTAGATTAGAGGGGTGTGAGTCTTGTTGTCAGAAGTCAGGGTCTGTGTAGCTAGATTAGAGGGGTGTGAGTCTTGTTGTCAGAAGTCAGGGTCTGTGTAGCTAGATTAGAGGGGTGTGAGTCTTGTTGTCAGAAGTCAGGGTCTGTGTAGCTAGATTAGAGGGGTGTGAGTCTTGTTGTCAGAAGTCAGGGTCTGTGTAGCTAGATTAGAGGGGTGTGAGTCTTGTTGTCAGAAGTCAGGGTCTGTGTAGCTAGATTAGAGGGGTGTGAGTCTTGTTGTCAGAAGTCAGGGTCTGTGTAGCTAGATTAGAGGGGTGTGAGTCTTGTTGTCAGAAGTCAGGGTCTGTGTAGCTAGATTAGAGGGGTGTGAGTTTTGTTGTCAGAAGTCAGGGTCTGTGTTGCTAGATTAGAGGGGTGTGAGTCTTGTTGTCAGAAGTCAGGGTCTGTGTTGCTAGATTAGAGGGGTGTGAGTCTTGTTGTCAGAAGTCAGGGTCTGTGTTGCTAGATTAGAGGGGTGTGAGTCTTGTTGTCAGAAGTCAGGGTCTGTGTTGCTAGATTAGAGGGGTGTGAGTCTTCTTGTCAGAAGTCAGGGTCTGTGTTGCTAGATTAGAGGGGTGTGAGTCTTGTTGTCAGAAGTCAGGGTCTGTGTAGCTAGATTAGAGGGGTGTGAGTCTTGTTGTCAGAAGTCAGGGTCTGTGTTGCTAGATTAGAGGGGTATGAGTCTTGTTGTCAGAAGTCAGGGTCTGTGTAGCTAGATTAGAGGGGTGTGAGTCTTGTTGTCAGAAGCCAGGGTCTGTGTAGCCAGATTAGAGGGGTGTGAAAATCACATCATATATCTTGTGTATCATGTCTGTGTTCTTCTGGGTAACCCCTAACTTCTAGCTTCATTAACTTACAAGCCTTATTAAAATGTCATGAAACTAACTAACTGTCTGGTCAAATTACACAGAAGAGCGAGAGCAATCCTGGTCTAAGTTGGGAGAGGTTGTGGTGGTGACATCACTTTGGTGATGAATGAATGCTGAGTATTTATCATAATAGAAATTACCAGTCTTCAATTACAGCTATGATATGGGGTGAATTGACTTATATATAACAGTTCTAAATTTCTGGACTTGTTTAACATTTATCAAATTTGTATTGCTTGATGCGAAGTTCAACATGATGCTGTAGACACATTAGAGGATCAAAGTCTAGACTTAGTGGTAATGAAAAACATTTGAATCGCCCAACATGTCCATGTTGGAAGCATGCTGTTTGCTTGGTCCCTGGCATTGACAGACAACAGTTAGATTATGAGAGCCGAGCTGGATGCTGTAACAGTAAGTACAGGGCTGGACAAGGGGACTAGAGCACTCACAAATGGGGGTCATTATTTTTTCACATGGGTCATTGATGAGTCTGTCGTGGTAATTTGAGGCAGGGGGTAATGTGTTGCTTGAAGGTATCGGTAACTTGAAGCTGTGAGTTGTTCAGCATGAAATGAGCTCTCTGTTCTGCATCTTGTTGGTCAGGTGTCTATTCAGTATATTCACTTGAAAACTGCAAAATGGCTGTCAGAATGCAGTACTCTTTCATATCTTTGGCAAGGCCAAATGTTCCAAATCAGTGACATCATAATATCCTAACTTCATGTCAACTTTCAACATGTTCAAACCCTGTATGGATTCTTGTGATAAGTAAATGAGGCAACTGTATGGATTGTGTGGTCAGACTCGGTGACTTCACTGATTTCCTGCCATTGTACCCGACACTGTGTGATGTTGCTCATGACATTAGTCACTTGTTTGTCTGGTCTGACCGATTATTTACAGGCCATGTCATATAGCTTGTAATTCATGGAGTGCTGCGTTATACAACCAGCACAAACAACCATCTTCATGTTCAGTGCATCAAGGGGGATAACTCAATCTGTGGCTGGCAGGGTCAGGTGGTGATGAACTCTCATTGCGGGAAGTGTGTGATGAGGGGCATCTTCCCGAGGCAAGGGAGTTAACTGACTGTAAAAGTCCAGTTTCAACTTTTGCCGAACAAGGCTTGAATTTCCAGGCTCGATTGTTGCGCCACCAGTGGCTATTACGAGTTATCTCCCTACTATGTCCCTCGTATTGACCCATCAGATGCCACTTCTTATATCACTTGCATTTGCATCAAATAAATGGTGGCGCCCAACCAACAACGATTTGATCGATAATCAAGATCTATATTAAATTAACAGGTTTTACTTTGTGAAGCTCATCAAATAACCTGAACTACCTGATTGAAAACATGAACAGATTTGGAAAAATATCTGTCGACGCCCATTTGACGGTATACATGTTTTGCAAATCCTGCAATTGATTGAAATCCTTGTTTTTTATGAAGCTGATGTCTAGCTTGTTCAGGGCTCGAAATTAACCGTATTTTGCGTGCCATCGCATGTAATATCATTCATTTAATAAACCTATCACATTTCACAATGTCTGAAATACGTATTCCATTTCAATTTATCATTTTTTATCGATAAATTAAAAAATTATTCACTATTTCCCGGGATGTTATTGAAAATAAAATTCTCGAACACACAT